CCTCTCATGGCTCAATCTCAAGGACTCAGATCACGATCCTGCACAATTCAATCACCAAACACAGTAAAAACAAGCCACAATCAATCGTATTCCACACAATCCTAATCCGAGAGCCTATGGTCACGCACTCACCTTTGCAAACGGATTGAAACGAGGAAACAAGGCACTCCCGACACGACCCGAACAGAAGGGAATAACTCGCGACTCCCTTTACCAAATCAAGGTCTGAAACCTGATCTGGAAACTAGACACCAAGAGCTTTGCAACGGTATATAGAAAGTCTCCTAACTCCAAACAGATCGACGGGAAAACAGCCCGCAATCTCGCTAATCGAAACTAGAAAAACAGAGATTTCAGAAACAACACCCTGAAATCAAACGAATACAGAGAACGGAGATTACCTCCAAACAAGGATCCGAAACCTAATACAAAAACTAGACAGAGAGAGATTTCCAACGGCATAAGGATCGTCTCCTGATTCTCTCTGGTTCGACGGGAATCCTCCCTCGAAGTGGACTGATCGCACTCGAAACTGCAGAAACCTCACACAATCCAACGGCCATAACTCAGCGAATACTCATCCAAAAGGCACGCGGTTTCCACCCACATCAAGAGCAAAGATAGGAGAACATACCCTAAAAGTTTCACTTTGATCCGATCCGATCTTCCCCGCCAATCATCTCCTCCAAAAACCCGAGCATAACTGTTTCTCTCTCAAGAAAAACACTTCTCTCACAAAATTCTCTAAAACTCTTTCTCTGATCAAATTTTCGGCCAACCCCAAGAGAAAACGCTTTTCTCTGCTTAAATACGGAACCCTAGGTTCCCTAAACCAACCCAAACCAAACCCGATCAGAAATCAAAACCACACGGTCCAATTTAAGCATGTGTCGCTTGACACAAACCTCTTGTGTCGCGCGACACAGCTCCAGCAAACAAATTTCTTCGCGAATTAAACACACGTGTCAATCGACACACAACCAAAAATCACATTTTTGGTTCACGGACATTACAATGATGGTAGACATGTATATTTACATACAATGATGATAGGCTTATACGTTAACTTGTATTGTAATACAACTAATTTCTAAAGCAAACGATGTTTGATATATAAGTCTACCATCATTTAGAGAACAAGTCTACCATGATTT